TAAACTGGTTGCCTATGGGAGTATATGCCAATTGTTATGGAGTCATCTAATTTAAGAGAAGCTAAAATCTGGATTTATGTGAAATCTCCCAATTATTAAACATCATCAACTAATTAAAAAATAACATATAGTCAGGTTGGTGGTTCACGCCTTTAATTCCAGCCCTTTGAGGGGTGGAGGTGGGAGGATTACTTGAGGCCAGGAGTTTAAGGCCAGCTGGGGCAACACAGTGAGACCCCTATCTCTACAACACAAAAACTTAAAAATTAGCTGGGCGTGGTGGTGCATGCCTGTAGTCGTAGCTACTTGGTAGGCTGAGGTGGGAGGATCTCTTAAGCCCAGAAGATAAAGGTTATAGTGAGCTACAATCGTGTCACTGCACTCCAGCCTAGGACACAGAGCAAGACCCTATCTCTACGAAAAACTTAAAAAAAAAAAAAAAAAAATATATATATATATATATATATACACACACACACACACCACATGAGCCAAATAAAATACCTCTACGGGCTGGACTTGCCATAAGAGGCCTCAGTTTACAAACCCTGCTATAGGCAAAACTCAGACTACATTATCATTAGCAAACATAAATGTAAATGCTACAAACCTTGACCAGTATAAATGATAGATCAAGATTAAAGGTTTAAGTATATTATGTAAAGTATATGATGCAAAGTTTACCAACAGAAGAACTAAGTATATATGACTAGCCGAGTATGGTGCAGTGCAAGAAGTAAACTTAATAAATTTCATAATTTTATGGAGATAAATTAACTGTTAATAAGTGACAAGTCACAAGTTAAAAAGATATTTTAGTGCTCATTATTCTGAGATATAGAAATAAGCACCAGAACTAATAAAAACTGGACAGTGGGATAAGGAGTATAAGTGAGACTTTACCTTTTCATCCTGCTTTGTACTGTTTAAATTTCATTACAATGTCATCATATACTTCCACAATCATGTTTTAAGATTTAGCACTTTTATCATTATGCACATATAACTGCATAATTTAAAAAATTTTTGAAGTTTAAATTCAAGGAAAGATAGTTTGCCAATTATGACTTTAATGCCATGAGCGAAAAAAAAGCATCAAGACTAAACCATGTTTAATATAAAGTATCTAATTTCCCAAGTCCTAACATAACATGAACTCATGAACTCAAAAGCATTATCTCTACTTAGAAGACTACAAAGATTGGGCTTTAAAATTAATAAAGAGGCACCTGAGCTTTGGGCTTCTGTGGATAAGAAAGGAGAAATAAAAAAGAATCTTAGAAATCATACGTTTATGAGTACATGCACCAAAGAATACAAAAAACACTGGTCTTCATTCTTATGTTAGCCTCCAAGGGAGTAATAGTAGCTAATATTTACTGAACATTTCCTATGTGCTAACTACCAAGCTAACAATGATACTAGCAACTCAGTGAGGTAAACACTACTACTATCCAAATATCACAGATAAAACTGAACTTTACAGAAGTTAGGTCATTTTCCCAGGACCACATGCAAGCAAGTATCAAAGCAAAGATACAAGGCCAGATCTGACATGAAATATATAACTATAACCACCCTGCCTTTCCTACTATTGCAAGGTAAAGGGATAAACTCCAAGTTAAACACCAGAAATTTCTTCTGTGGTCTGCTACCGGTAGGTCTGAATTTCCTTACCAATTCTAGTACCCTGTCCCATGCTTTGATAAGAAGAGACATGTCAAATTAACATCCTTTATAATTTGGTCCAAATTTCACTTTATCTTGCAGATATTATTTGAAAAATTCCTTGATACCGGACTGTGAACATTCCCCAATTTCAGTATAAATGAAGTTTCCTTTTCTCTTCTTTTAATGTTATGCTTTTTTATGGTTCTGAGGATTAGGAAAGTAACAACGTATACTTTCTCTGTCATAGTTTCTGTACTCCAGATAGACTGGTAGCCAATGCAACTCTAATGAGTTGCATTAGAGGCCTCTGCAATACTGCAGGTGTTCAGAGCTTTGGTATGTCTAAGTAAAAGTTATTTTAAAAACAGAGAATTAATAAAAGTTATTGGTTCAAAGTAATTAAGAGTGAGAGATGACTGCCAGGATGTGAAATACAGGAGAGGAAGAAAGTAATCAAGAATATAAGTTTGGGGCATGCCATTTACAGTTCTGTATACCTTCCTCCCACATGACAGGTACCTGAAGATTTGCTGCACTGATGATTTACCGAATTAAAGATTTGCCAGTGTGAGCATGGATAGGTCCTATAAATTAACAGACATATGGAAAACTAACGATATGAGCTAAGAAGCCCAGAATCTGAAAGAGAATACCTAAGACCAGCAAGCCTTTAAAATAAAAACAAGAAACAAGACTATTACTCAAAGTATACTCTTCAGGAAGCTGATCTTGACTGACCTCACACGACTGATCATTATGACACTAAACAGGGTGAGGAGAGGTGAGAGGTCTCCTTTGAAACTCTTCAAGGCTAGCTTGAACATGCTTGAGTATCATTTCACCGATAAACTATTTTAATATATCTTTTAATATTTTATTTAAATATCTATATAATATTTAATATATAATTTTTAAATTCTGAATTAATTCAAAGCTTAGGATTTGTAAGAACAGCACAAAGACCTCCTTCCTTTATATCCTTCGCTCAGATTTACCAATTGTTAACCTTTTGTTCTATTTGCTTTATCACTCTATTTTCCCCAAGCTTTTTAAAAGTCACAGATACACCCTTTTACTTCTAAACACTTCAGGATATAACTTCCTAAGAGCAAAGATATTTACTTAATCACAGAACAATTTTAAAAATCAGGAAATTTAATACTGAAAATACACAATTATCTAATTTACAGACCTTGAATGTTGCCAATTCTCCCAATAACATCCTTTTTAGCAACTTTTTTCTGGTCTAGGATCTAATCTAAGATCATACTCTGTATTTTGTTTGCGTTTGCATGACTCTTTAATCCATCAATCTAGAACAGATAGTTTCTCAGCCTTTGTCTTTTATGACACCAACACTTTTGTAAAGTAGAAGTCAGCTGTTTCACAGAATGTCCCTCAATTGGGGTATGCCTGATATTTTATCCTGCTCAGTGCATCACACTAGGAAGTACAGCGTATCACTAAGTCCCATCACTAGCAATACTAAACTTGATCACTTGGGTACGGGGATGTTTCTTCACTGTAAAGTTACTTTTTAGTTTGTGATTAATAAATAATTTATGAGAAGATACTTTTAGACTATGTAAATACTGTATTCCTCACAGAACATTCACTCACTAGTTTTAGCTAGTGATGATTCTTGCCTGAATCAATTATGGTGATGTGTGCAAAATGATTTGTATAACTCTTTCATTCTTGCAAATTTATTCATTGACATTCTATGGTAAGCAGAAGCTTTTCTTTACACCCTATATATTTACATATTTATTGAGTATGGATTCTTATTTAATTCAATAGGTTTATAATCCATTTTATTTTGATATTCAGTAGCACCAGATACGGTAAATGGGAGCTCCTTCCAGTTGATTCACAGTCCTTCTGACATATCCCCACCCACCATCTGTCTGAGCACTTCCTTGGCTCACTCCTCTTCAGGTATACCACTTTGTAAACTACCAATATGGAAGGCTAGCTAAGAATTTCCCAGCAACATTAGATGTCTGAAGCTCTCACACCACTAATTACACTCTCCTATCTTTAATCTCTCTTTCAGTCTTAAAAGTGCTCACGTATTTTGCAAATTAAAAAAAAGAAGCTTCTAGAAGAAAAACTTTTCTTCCCATTTATTCAACTCACTGTAACACTGTAATCTGGTTGTTTTTATTTTATTTTATTTTATTTTTTTGAGACAGTCTTGCTCTGTCGCCCAGGCTGGAGTGCAGCGGCGCGATCTCGGCTCACTGCAACCTCCGCCTCCTGGGTTCAAGCGATTCTTCTGCCTCAGACTCCCAAGTAGCTGGGACTACAGGCACGTGCCACCACACCCAGCTAATTTTTGTATTTTTCTTAGAGATAGGGTTTCACCATATTGGCAAGGCTGGTCTCGAACTCCTGACCTCGTGATCTGCCTGCCTCAGCCTCCCAAAGTGCTGGGATTATAGGTGAGCCACTGCACCCGGCCTGCAATCTGGTTGTTATCTGGAACTTCTCCCTCTTCCTTACTCAAACAAGTTATTTACTCATGGTTACTCTTTCCTGTGTTCCTCTATTATTCCTCACTCCAGTGGCTTGTATGTCTTAACTCATCTCCTTGCCTCCAATCTCTCCTTTAACTGCTCCCTTTTCCCACCTATCTCTTTACATGCTGCTGCCAGAATATTTTTTATAAAACCCAAATATCGCATTTATCCCACGCTTAAAACAAATCTATGACTTCTTAGTGCCTAAAAATTAAAAACCAAGTCTTCATCATAGAATAGAAAGTCGTGTATTATCTCACCCGTCCACCAGTTGTTACAGAACTCTTCATCCCCCTTGAGCCACTCACACTGTTTTGCACCATAAGCTCCAGCTTTATGAATGATATATAAATCCCAAAACCCTGATGTTGACCACAAATGTCCTGTGCTCATCCTGCTCCATCCTCTGGAATCCTTAGGGTCCACTCCTGACTCTTAACTGTCAAGGTATAGCTCAATATCACTTCCTCTTTTAAGCATTCCTGACCCATATGAGTAGAGCCCATCAGTCCTTTCACAAGACCACACCGTGTTTATCTCTATTACAGCATGTCACACTTTAATGTAATTGTTAACATCTGTCTTCCACTCTAAACTGTGAGTTCCTTGAAGTCAATAGTTGCTTTTATTCATCACTATATTCTCTATGCCTATCACTCCTAATAGGTGTTCAATAAACATTGTTGAATAAGTGAAATTAAAAAGTAGAATGCAAAATTTTTTAAATGATAAAAATAAAAAGCAGAATGCAAAGTGAAATTATAATATCATACAGATAACATAAACCTGACTGTTAAACATCCTTACCTGGTAACTAACAACTTTTTTTCCATCGCTTCTAGTCTGAGGTAACGTCAAAGGCCCAGATATCACCCAAACATCTTCAAACCTTTCTGTCAGTTCTCGACAGTACATTTCTATTCTGAAAAACAAATCAAAAAAAGTATGATATTCTCACATATATACATGTAAGATAGCAGCAAATCATATCAATCCCTACGAAAGATACCAAGAAAAACTGCATTTGAGAAATTAACAAGAACATAGCACAAAACATTATAAGCATACAAACAATTATTTTCCGTTTGCTTACTGCACAGAAAAACCTTAAAAATCACATACACTAACAAAACTATCTACATTTTTCTTTATGTGCACTCAGAGTACATTCTGGAATTCAAATTTCATGAACTTAAAACTTTTTTTATGCCATAATTCCCAACCAGTTTTCAAGAATTATATACCATTCCAACAAGATGATATACTTTAACCATTCCTCTTGCAGGACAATTGGGCTTATGTTAACATTTCTTAAATAATGCAACACTGTATCAGTTCCTTCAGATAAATTTCAAGGACCAGAATTACTGAATGTATTTATTTTAACTCGTCATCATATGTAAAACTAACATTTTTGATAGGGCTATATCAATTTACTCTATAAGCTCCAAAATACAACAGCAGTTTCACAACAATCTTTATAATGCTGGGATTTATCATTTAAAAACTGTTTTTGTCAATTTACCAGATAAAAACGGCAAGTATTTTTTTTTCTTTTTTCTTTCTTTGAGACGGAGTCTCACTCTGCCGCTCAGGCTGGAGTGCAATGGTGCAATCTCAGCTCACTGCAACCTCAACCTCCTGGGTCCAAGTGATTCTCCTGCCTCAATCTCCCAAGTAGCTGGGATTACAGGCGCCCAAATGGCAAGCAGTTTTAATATGTACTTTCTTACACTGCAGTTGGAAGATTTTTTTTTTTTTTTTTTTTTTTTGAGACGGAGTCTCACTCACTCTGTCACTAAGGCTCAGCTTACTGCAACCTCCGTCTCCTGGGTTTAAGTGATTCTCCTGCCTCAGCCTCCTGAGTAGCCGGGATTTTAAGTGTGTGCCACCACACCTGGCTAATTTTTTTTTATTTTTAGTAGACACACGGTTTCGCCACATTGCCTAAACTGGTCTCTAACTCCTGACCTCAGGCGATCTGCCCACCTCGGCTTCCCAAAGTGCTGGCATTACAGGCATGAGCCACTGCGCCCGGCCCAGTTGGAAGAGATTTCTAAATGAGAGATAACAATGCATTTCCTCATTCCTCAGTTTCTTATCCAAAAAGTAAAATCCAATTATTTTTATAGGCTGGTGTAAGTGCAGTGGTTTACAACTAATTGTTCACAACAGGTTATATACTTCCTTGTTCCTTCTCTACTTCCACTGCTTCACTTGACTGGCCTTAAAAAAATTATTTTTAAACTATTTTTAATAGCATATATATATGCCCAATTACAAGGTAAAGTTTTCCTCCCAGAAATTTATCTCTTGGGAAAAGAAAATGTTAAATGCTTCCACAGGTATGCAATCAGCAAATCCAGAATATGGAAAGGAAATTCTAGGACAAACATCCTAGATCTTCAACAGATAATTTGAATGGGGGGGCGGGGAAAGAAAGGGAAACTTACAGATTAATAGGAACTAAAGAGATATATCAACCAAATTTTTGTGTCTATCTTGTTTGAATCCTGATTCAAACCAACCAACAACAACAAAAAAATTAAAGACAACCAAGAAAATTTGAACTGACTATAAAATTGGTAATAAAGAATTATTGTTAAATTCTTTAAGGGCATTAATAATACTGTGGTTATATTTTAAAAGAATCCTTATATTCTAAATATATATAACGAAACATTTATGGATAAAATATCTGTAATCTGCTAAAAATAATCTGAGTGTGTCAAAGTGATGGTATGTAGATGAAACAAATGTCGCCATGACTGATAACTGCTGAAGTCTCTCGTTGGTGCAGGGTGCTCTCTTCATTATTTTAAACCACAAAGTACTATATGGGGAAAAACACAACAGCCTGAAAGAACCTCAAACTGTTAGTTTTAGATGCATAAAGACACCACCTGACAGTGTCAGAAAAATGTAGAAGGCCCAGATTATTTTATAGTTAGGTTCTATCAAAAACTGGTTAATAGTGGTCAGGCGTGGTGGCTCATGCCTGTAATTGCCGCACTTTGGAAGGCCAAGGTGGGCAAATCACGAGGTCAGCAGTTCGAGACTAGCCTGGCCAACATAGTGAAACCCCATGTCTACTAAAAATACAAAAATTAGCCGGGTGTGGTGGTATGTGCCTGTAATCCCAGCTACTCGGGAGGCTGAGGCAGGAGAATCACTTGAACCCAGGAAGCGGAGGTTATAGCGAGCTGAGATCATGCCATTGCACACCAACAATGTGAGACTTTGCCTCGGGGGGGAAAAAAAAACAAAAAAAAAACTGGTTAACAGTTATATTAAACTATGCCCCAACTTTTTTTCAAGTTCAGGAACCTTTTTTTTTTTTTTGAGATAGGGTCTTGCTCTGTTGTCTAGGCTGGAGTGCAGAGGCACAATTACCACTGACTATAGCCTCAACCTCCTGGGCTCAAGTGATTGTCCCACCTCAGCCTCCTGAGTAGCTGGGATTACAGGCATGGACCAACACACTTGGTTAATTTCTTAAATTTTTAGTAGAGACAAGGCTTCAGTATGTTCCAGGTCAGTCTCAACTCCTGCTCAAGCAATCCTCCTGCCTCGGCCTCTCAAAATGCTGAGACTATAAACATGAACCACAGACCCTGGCCTAAAGCTCAGGAGCTCTTGAAATACAAAACTGTTTTTTTTTAAAAAGCTAAGAAATATTGGAATACAAGAGAAAATAATAGTGTTCACTGAACATACTCAAAAAAGATGCTGCCTCAATTACTAAGATTATTATTTTGAGTCATTTCTTTTGAAACTTGACTTTTGAATAGTGGCAAACACGATCAAAAAAGCAGGCTATGTTTTGAAGTCTGATCTTCTGTAGAAGACTGTACTCCCAAAATACAGCAGAGAAAACTGGCCCAAAGTACTTACCTTCAGAGGCTTAGCTTTTGAAAAATAAAGACAGAAACAGCTAATAGGCACATTAGTACATTCTCCTGTCACTTCATTTATCTTCCACAGAATCATGTTTTTAAAACTCTCATCCCTCACCTGTTCCAATATCCAGAATTATTATCAAAATCCTGAGGCACACTGTTAGAAAGGTAAAAGGTTTCAGCCATGGCTTTCTGTAAAGAAAGAAACATAGTAACTTGCACTGAAATGTTTCCTCTTTAAAATATATTTTATTAAAAAGACACACAAAAAGTTTCCTATTTATACATTAGTGCTAGGCAATTATTGACTACTTATTTCAATAAATGAAAGCCATAATTATTCCAGGACAGAAAGCTCTTATAATAATTATTCAAAATGAGGACTACAAAGTAAGTAGTTAGCTATGCTTATCAATTATAAAATCCAAACCTATAACGTGAATTCTAAGAACTAAATATTTCCAACACAAAGCTTAAGGGCAAATTCTGGTTTTAAGCCTCTGGCAGAGTTTCTCAATAGAGATCAATTTTCACAAAAGTTATTTTAGTATAGTACAAACACACTAGTTCAAAAGTGGCAGAGAAAACGTCCTTGTTCTTCTGAATATCTGGCCACTATGTGTTCATTCACTTCACATTTCTGACCCAAATACCCAAGGCTCTACCTCACTGTAATTTCTTCACTGATCTATACTAACTGCCAATGCTACAAGTACCTTCTCTTCAAGCAGTCACTCTCAATCTTGGGTGCACACTGGAATAATCTTGGAAGCTTTAAAAATATTGACATTGATGCCTGGGTCTCATCCCTGAGATATTCCAATTTTATAAGTATGAGGTTCAGATCTGGGCATCAGGATTGTGAAAACTTCTCCAGGTGATTATAATGACTCTCCAAGGTAGAGAATTACTATCTTAATGACATAATCACCAATAGTTCACATAACAAATGTCAATATCATGAAAGACACTCCTCCACTTTTTGGCAGGAAAAGCATTCTAGATTAAAGAAGACTAAAGAAATATGATAACTAAATGTAATGCATGATTCATGATTGAATACTGAATCAGAAAAGCTATAAAGGACATAATTAGGACCATGTGGGAAAGCTGACTATACACTGTATTTTAGATAATATTACTGCACAAATATATAAAAATGTATTAGTATACACTTCTTGATATACTTGTATTTATACATATTATATTCATATATATTATATTCATATATACAAACATCCTTATTCTTAGATGATGCATACTCCTGAGCAATCTATTTAGAAATAAAACATGTCTGCAACTTTGTCAATGGTTGCAGAATTTACATATGTATACGTAAATGTATCAATATGCTTGTTGTATTATTTTTTCACCTTTTCTATGAATTTCTACAAATTTTGTGCAAATTAAAAGCATTTTTCAAAATAAATTAGCCATGCATGGTGGCACATGACTGTAGTCCTAGTTACTCAGGAAGCTGAGGAAAGAGAACCATATAGCCTAGGAGTTCAAGACTACAGTGAGCTATGATTCCACCACTGTACTTCAGCCTGGGCATCAAAGCGAGACTCTGTCTCTAATTAACTAATTAAAAATAAGTGAGTAGCCAAGCACAGTGGCTCACGCCTGTAATCTCAGCACTTTGGGAGGCCAAGGTGGGTGGATCACCTGAGGTCAGGAGTTTGAGACCTGCCTGGCCAACGTGGCGAAACCCCCCATCTCTACTAAAAAATACAAAAATTAGCTGGGTGTGGTGGCGGGCACCTGTAATCCCAGCTACTCAGGAGGCTGAGGCACAAGAATTGCTCGAACCTGGGAGGCAGAAGTTGCGGTGCACCGAGATCAAGCCACTGTGTTCCGACCTGGGCAACAGAGTGAGTGAGACTCCGTCTCAAAAAAAAAAAAAAAGTGCGTAGCTTCAGCTCCCAGTGGCTTTCCAGTTCCCTTCATCTAGCACTTAGTGTTCCTCATTCAACCTGTTTAAAGATGTCTCTGCATGTGATTGAAAGAAGAGAAATAAAGTCAGGAAGAAAAACAAGAGTATGGAAATTCTCAAGGTTTAAGGTTTAGCTCCTAGGTTTTTAATCTCTAATTCCTGTTGTATGCATAACATCAGCCCCATATTCCCAGCCCTCCCCCAAAGTATGCCTACACTGGAAAATTTGTTATTTCCTGCTGGAGCCATGTGTCCTCGTGACCACCCACTTCCAACATAATCTTCATTGAAGGCACTGAAGGCTGGAGGGATACTGGGATCAGGCTTAAACTTACAATGCTTTCTGTCTGCATCACCTGAAGAAAAACACACAAAATGGGTCTGTTATCAGCAGACAGATGTCCCTCAAGATTCTCTAAGCAAGGCAAGCTGGCTGCTGCTGGCTGGTGTCTCTTCAAGCAATTAATATTAGGGACTGCATGCATGTCTCAAGTTCCTGGGATAGTTCAGATACTTCATCTGAATTTAGAAAGTACTAGTCTAGGAAAGAATGCTTTTCATACAGTGTAGCTATCTCCTATAATTTTGACTCTGGCCTTTCCAGTTAAAGAAAAACTCCTCTGAATAGTATTTAAGTAAAAACAATCAACAATCAAAACGCTAAACTATATAAAAAGCTTGGCTACTAAACAAATGCTTGTTTTGTATTTTGTACGATTGTATTTGACAAGTTTATGTGTACTAAAATAATGGATATATATAGACACGAAACAATTTGTTCTAGGCAGGCACAGCCTTGGGGAGAGGAGTGTCTCTGATATCTTGCTTACTGCCTCTTGAACCATGACAAAATAAACATTTAAGTTATGAGCTCCACCCAGAAGTTTCTAAAACAGAGTATCTTAGTGCCACATAGGAAAGAAGAAATCTCAGATTTTATTTATTTTCTGACACCTCCAGAATGGTTTGTCACAGAGAACATTAGCAAATCCTAACACTATCTACTGCACTATCGTGAGGTGAGACCTTCTTAAACTACAAAAGTTATGACAACAAATGAAACATACTCAAGACTGTTATTCAAAGAAGTGTAAAATGGAGAACAGTGAAGTCACTGATTCCAAGGTGATTTCATCCAGCCAAGAAAAACTTAGTATCAGATCCCAAAGTTCACAGTAAAGTATCATATACGTAAACTTTTTAGAATCACTTTATAAAGAATACAGGAAAATTATCATTAGTAAATTTCTAAGTGTCATTACCATTGGAATCACTTCCTTCTACAGCTAGTTATTTTTGGCTGGTGCTCACTGTCACATAGAAGCAATTTGTAGGAATTTCCAAAGGCCTAAAAAGATATCTTTCTTGAGAAAAGATGTAAATTTACTGCTGTAAGGTGTCTAGCAACATTACCAGTGGAGAACCATATTAAACCATGCTCAGGGATTAAGGTTCCCTGATCTCCTCTTGATGCACAGATTTGGGCTGTAAGTCTGCATGATAGCCAGTTTTTGACCTTACCTTCTCTGGAACAAAGCTTTTATCTTTCTTTTGACCTTTCTCTGTTCAATGCCAAGACAACCTTCCATGTAGTCCCCAAGAGTGGGCAGGGAAGTTAGTTCTAGTTCACTCTTGCCTGAGGATGTAGCCCTTTGGAGTTCCAAGGTAACACAGGAAGGGTCTCCTACACTGCAGGACCTACAGGACAACCTACCTTGGGTGAGCCTTAGGTCTTTCCTTCAATCCTCCTCACCCCATAATGCTGTGAATTCAAAGGCAAATGTGGTTTCGGTTTGCCAAGACTGCGCTTACCTCTTTGGATTCTGGCTTTCTCCCATAAACACTAGCCTGGCAATTCTCCACTATGCTGCCAGCTCTTCATTTTTCGTAAGTGATTTTTTAAAAGATGCGCTTTTAGTTGGGCATAGTGGCACATACCTGTAATCCCAGCTACTCAGGAGGCTGAGACAGGAGGGTCACTTGAACCCAGAAATTGAAGACTAGCCTAGGCAACATAGCAAAACCCCATCTCAAAAAAAAAGTAAAAAAATATAAATATGTATATACACTTTTTATATACTAACATTTTTGGTTTTCAGCAGGAAGATTCCATTTGAATAACTCAGTCCATCATTACTGAAAATAGAAGTTCTTTTACATTAAAATCGAGTAAAACACAGGTACATTGCTCCCTATTTTCAAACATTAATTGGCTCTATTTTATTGCCTCAAAAGTACACAGCTCACAAGATTTATTATACAATATAAAATGCCCAGGTTTTCTTATATGCTGGATAAAGTTTTCACTTACATCAGTTTCTCTCTAACAGCAAGTACATTCCAAGCCTCCTGTTATTCTGCTGGTTGCTATGCACTCTAGAATGGCACACACTTACTTTAATATCACCATTTTAATATGCACAGCCATAGCACACATTTTAAAGCAAAGGAGACTATGTGGAACACACAGCAAATTAAAAAGCAAATAACAAAAGGGAACAAAACAACTGTGACAAAAGGTAATCTCCTTAATAAATAAAAGAACTTCTACAAATAAATTCAAAAGAGAATGCCCCAACTGAAACAGGTAAAGAATAACTTACCAAAAAAGACTAATTCACAACATGTTAACTCTCACTAATAATCAATAAACATGAGTAAAATCAGCATTAAATTGGTAAAGCTGAGTAATGCTCACCATGGGTGAGGGTTGAGAGAGAGAACAAACAATGATGGTAGGAGTGTAAACTTGAAGAATCTACCTAGAAGCCAATTTGACATTAATTATCAAGATCTGGTAATTCTACAGGACCCTATCAAGACATAAGGACACGTGAATAAAGTGACACACCTGCTTATTTCTCCATCCTCATTTCACATCACCTTCTCCTTCATTCACCTACTGGCACTCTTTTAGTTCCCTAAAAGAACAAAACCCCTCTCCATATTGGGGGCCTCCAAAGATGCAAGTGTTCCTTTCTTTCTAGAATGCTCTTCTCCACATCCCATGGCACATTCAACCCCCTGCCTAAGTAATTTCCATTCACTCTTCAGTCCACTTTTTCAGAGAAGCCTTACTAATCAAAATCAGGTTCTCCTGTTATAATCTCTCATCACACTTTTTTTTTTTTTTTTGGAGACACGGTCTCCCTCTGTTGCCTAGGCTGGAGTGTGGTGCTGCACTCTTGGCTCACTGCAATCCCCACCTCCTGGGCTCAAGAGATCCTCCCATCTCAGTCCCCCAAGTAGCTGGGACCACAGAGGTGCACCACCACGCCCAGCTAATTTTTGTATTTTTTGTACAAACGGGGTTTTGCCATGTTAGCCAGGCTCATCTCAAACTCCTGAGCTCAAACGCCTCAGCCTCCCAAAGTACTGGGATTACAGGTGTGAGCCACCACGCCCAGCCTCTCATCAAACTTTTTACTGTTCCTTAATTATACTACACTAACTTGCAATCACTTCCTTTGGAAAAATTATTATAATTATACATTCATAATTATTTGTTTGATAGGTCAACCTACTCTCCCAACTCAAAGTGTCATGGGGGTAGAGATCCTCTACTCGGGTCACACATAGGTCCCCAAGTGTTATCACAGTGCCAGACACGTAAATATTTGTTAAGGTAAAACTGAATGGTGCTCATTGCTGTAATATTTATGACAGACCCTCCCAACTAGTGTGTCGAGATATGGATATTTTCCGCCCTGAAACAGCTGGAAAGGGTCTGGCTTTCTGGCTGCCAGGCAGGGTTGATTTAACCAGTAAGCTATATAAATATAATTTTCTACATGTGCTATGATATCAAAAAGGTTGAGAATATTAATCATCATCTCTGTTTTAAATTTGGAGACATCTTTCATAAATACTGTCACTTCAATTTTTTTGTCCAACCACCTACCCATTGTCTTGCTTTTGGAAATATGTTCAAGAACCCATCTAGGCACCCGCTTTGCCTGATCATAAGACAAAGCGTGATTAGTGTAACACCTTGTCTCTGTTCCAGTTAAAGGGAATCCAAATTGTTCCAAGACAGCCTTTTCTGCAGATCCTAAAAATGAAAAAAAAACAAAACAAAACAAAACAAAAACACAAACACACAATTAGTGGCTCTTAAGAACGAAAGATTATAAGGAAAAGGAGAGCGGTGTGATTTACAAAGGACTGGCTCAAAAGTCTAATCAACGAGAAAATCTCATTTTTGCAATTACGAGATGAAGAAAATAGTAGACAAAGTACGGATTTGCCTATAATCAATGAATAAACTGCAGCTACTGCGTTAACTTTTGAATAAAGACTTGATCTTATTAGTCTTTCACATCAAATTTCCAAATCATCTCTGAAGCACTGATATGTGTGCTGTTGCAAGATGACAGTAAAACTGGTACTGTTTTTCCGAGTGGGAGAAACCAAGCACACAATCAATAGTGAGTCGGTTTCGAGATAATCCTCCCCTCATGCCTTCTCAAATCCTCAACCCACCAAGGGGGTAGTTCTCTTGCTAGACGCCAAGTATCCAAAGGAGCAAGTTAAATTGGCACATCCACAAAGTGTAAGAAATGAACACGTCTTAATTTTTTTTTTTTTTTTTTTGTCAAATGTAAGGTACTCATTGCAACATGAGTTTTTATACACTTTGGAGAGATAGCAGGTATTCTTCAACTGAACAATGACGAAAGAAGGGCAGTTAACTAATCTACTAAAACTATGTATTAATTTATTCCTTCATTCATACTTACTGAATGCCAATTATGTACCAGGTACTGTGCTGGTTATAGATGATGGAGACCAAAACAGACGTAGTCTCAAGTCTTACGGAGCTAACAATCTTAGTGGAGGACGCAGACTTTTATTAAAACATAGATAGTAATTTGGGGGAAGACAGTCGGGCGGGGGTGGCTCTGTGAAGAAAACTAAGATGCCCGGGGTAAGGAGGGACATGAGGGAAGCCGGCCAGACGCGAGGTGGGGAGGGGAGGCCAAGCCGGGAGAAAAAAGGTCAGACACCAAGGGCCGGGTTCGGGGCCCAGCAAACGGCTGTCCGTCAAGTACCAGGGGCGTGTCGTTAAGTGCTCTGTAAATGTTAGAAATGTTTGAGCCATCTCTACTCTTTGTCTTGATAGAATATAAAATCCAGATTGCTGAATGCCTGCTGGCAAAGAAAGGATGGATAGATTTCACGGACTACCACTCACATTCCAGGTAGGAGTCGGAGCCCGACCTGGGCCAGGGGAGGACGCGCCCACAGACTTACCATCCGGCTGCTTCCCTGTCACCGCTCCCGCAGCGCCCACTACAGCCCCGGCCACGAAGCCACTCAGAAAACGCCGGGAGCCCCGGAGGCGGGAAGCGATGCTCTTGGTAGCCATCTTGCCCGAGGGACCGGCCTTTTATAACGGCGCATGCGCGCGCAGGCCGGCCCCCGTCCCGCCGCCCGCCAAACTGAGGGCCTCGTACGCCCCCTGGTGACAAACCTGGATGCCCTGGCGCATCCCCGCTTCATCCCTGGTCCACTGGGCGGGGCGATGGATGGGGAATACGATGTCTAGACGGTTTAGTGGTGTGCTACGTATAGTCTTGAGAAGAAAATGCCTTTAGTCCCATTTAATAGCTGAGTAAACACTTGCATATGGTTACACTAAGGTCTCCAGAGCCGATATTCCAACTCAGGTCTATTTATTTATTTAGCGACAGGGTCTCTGTTACCCAGGCTGCAGTACAGTGGAATGATCATAGCTCATGGCGATCTCGAACTCCTGGGCTCAAGCGATCCTCCTGCCTCAGCCTCCTGAGTAGCTGGGACTACAGGCACGTGCCACACTGCCTGGCTAATTTTTTTTGGCAGGAGTGGGGGAGTAGAGAAGGGGATCTCCTTATGCTGCCCAGGCTGGTATCCAACTTCTGGCCTCAAGCAATCTTCCTGCCTCGGCCTCCCAAAGTGCTGTAAGTCCAGGTGTGAGTCACTGTCCCCAACCTTCTCTTTTAAATTGGAATAATAATACTTAGACCATAGCGTTCTTGTGACGATTAAAGGAGATGACACATGTAAAATGTTTAGGGAAGTACCAGGGGCGTGTCGTTAAGTGCTCTGTAAATGTTAGAAATGTTTCAGTCATCTCTACTCTTTGTCTTGATAGAATATAAAATCCAGATTGCTGAATGCCTACTGGCAAAGAAAGGATAGATAGATTTCATGGACTATCACTCACAAATAAATGAGTTCATTTTGCAGCACAATCTCCAGCATTCCGTGTGGACTTAGTTCTTAGTAGAACTTTCAAGTTTCCTATTTCTTAGAAAACTGGTAGGAATAACTTTCATCTGATCCCACTGATGATTCACTGACCAGGAGGCCACTTCTAACAACCTACTGAAGTATGCACATTATTTTGGCAGCCTCAAATGGGAGGTTACCCCCTTGCTAGGAATACCTGTTGTGGAGGACCCTGACTGGTTAAGCTACATCAACCAGAGTCCTTCCTAGGGATTTTGGATCTAGTACTCGCTCTGGGTAGCAAAGCTGTGATGTGAAACTCTGGCACTGGGCCAGGCACAGTGGCTCATGCCTGTAATCCCAGCACTTTGAGGGGCCGAGACTGGAGGATCACCTGAGGTCAGGAATTTGAGACCAGCCTGGCCAACATGGTGAAACCCCATCTCTACTAACAATACAAATATTAGCCGGGCGTGGTGGTGCGTGCCTGTAATCCCAGCTACTCGAAAGGCTGAGACAGAATTGCTTGAACCCAGGAGAGGGAGGTTGCAGTGAGCTGAGATTGTGCCACTGCACTCCAATCTGGGCAATAGAGCGAGACTGTTTCAAAAAAAAAAAAAACAAAAAACAAACAAACAAAAACCTCTGGCACTGTCTACAGCCTTGTTTCCTGCTAAGAAGTCAAAGGAGCAGATGCATCTGGTCTTGCTCTGGGCAATAATGGAAGAAATACCAGGACCCAGGTGGAGAAGGCCTGCAATGCTGTGACCCCAACTCCCAAGGCTCCTGAAGCCCACATACATCCTGCCTTTCTGAAGGCTTGGCTAGTCATTTCCCCCAGAATCCTTTCAGTGAAACCCCCTTTTTTGTGTAATGGTTTCTGTCACCTGCAATCAAGGATCCTGACAAATACAACCAGACAACACTGGTATCTGTTGACTTCAAAGCTACTTCAGCAGCTTTCCCCAGAATTTACTAAATACACAATCACTGAGGTACTGTATTTCTTAAGGCTCTTTTAAGTGCCAGACACTGCTAAATACTAGAGAAATAAATAGTAGATGGCTTTTCCTAATCCAGATCCTCTACTTCTAAACAACAGTGTAACCCCACATTTGGTCCCAAGAGGTCAAGAACTGGAAGGGCTGCCTGCCTCTGGGTAGGAAAACTCCCTCTGGGCCTGTATGCCCACCTCTAAAATTGGCATTGGGCCAGCGATTTGTAAACTTTAAACAAGGTTCCTAGGTGTTCCATAGGGATGCCTGAGACTTAAAGGGATGAGAGGGTAAGTGAAATGGTCCCTTGGCCCTCTTCTACTTGCTCATTCAGACAAGCCTGGTTAATATAAACCAACTTCCGTGTCAAATTTCTTTTGGTGAAAGAAGTCCTTTGCTAAAGGGAAAGTTTGACCAGATGACTCCTAAGGTCCAACCTTTCAGCTTTTCCAGCTCCAAGATCCTGTGTCAAAAATGTCAGCCCTTTGCCCTCCTTCCTTCATTAGGGGCACTCACTAATAAAAGGTGAACTTTCTAAATGTGGAAGAGCAAAAACAGCTAAATATTGGGCAACTGGTCCCTGAATAAAGGGTCCTTTCATCAAAAACTTTCTCCAAAAGTATCAACAGTTGCTTAATTCTCATAATAAAGGGTGAATTAAAAGGGTGTTTCTCCACTTAGGCAAGTAAGAGTCATGGACCGAAACAACTTGTTAGTGCAGAAAGCAGTGAGATGATTTCTGGGGCCTTCCTGTTAAATATTAAAGACTATCATTATTTTATTGTTGGGGAACCATGAGTTCCTTTAGTGAGATTAAGTCCAGATCTCTGAAACCGGAGACCTGCTTTGCTAATTCCAGGTTGGGGATAAGGACCCATAATTGTATTTTTTAATCGCTCAGCAAATGACTCCAGTACTCAGCAATGTTTGGGAATGGCAGTTTGTCATCTGCAGTAGTCCTGAATACAACTATTTTCAAGACTTCTCTGCTCCACTTACAACAGTATTGCTCAGGGTTGTCTGCAAAGTACAGGACTGGCGGCAGAGGATGGGGGAACGGGGGAGTGTCTTGGACATTTGGAAAATATGCTACCCTGCAGAAACTTACCCAAAATCCCAGAACAGTTCGTTCAGGAGAACGGTCCCCATGCATAGTGTCCCCAACTAGACCCTGGACTTCTGAATGGCAGAAATGGAGACCTGTGCTTAGCTCCAGCCCCACAGGACCATGGCAGACTAGGCATTCAGCCATTAACATCTGTTAGTATTACACACACCAAACAGGAACTGACTTGAGTCAGCCCTCTAAGAAAGGGAACGCCATTTTACTTCTAATCCTCATGAAAGGAAACTCCAATCCCCTGTCACGCAATTAAGAGAGACAAGATTGTTTTATTATTATTTTATTTTCATATACAAAAAGATAAAACTTGAAATAGTTCTAGATTTTTCCTCCTATTGTTGGGGTGTAACTGCTTCTTCACACAGGGGGAAAAAACTACATTCACATCGGTTTATTTGAGGACCCAGTGCAGAGTTCAAGCAGCAAAACCCCAACTTAGCAGATCTAATTTCAAACTTGACACTCATTTCTAAAATTACCACAGTAAAAAGGAACAAAGATCCACTGCAAATGAATGAACTATGATACAATGTTCTTTCCAAAATGTTTTCATTTTGCAACTGTAATTACATGGATGTCTGCTTTAGGCCATTTTAGGGGTGTGTGTGTGTGTGTGTGTGTGTGTGTGTGTAATATATATATATAAATCAGCACACTTTTCAAATCCAGACAGGGTAACAGCAACAAGCTTAACTCTGTATATATATATATATATTTTTAAAACATGATACTTTAGTATAACTTTTGTTAATTCAGTAGTACAAGCTATTTCTGTTCTACAAAATTTTTATTTTATAGCTACAAGGGTGAAAAGTGACCTACTACATTTACATCTCACATATCCTGGCATACAAACAGTACTTATTGAATTTGAGCCAAAAACTAGAAGTCTTTAGTTTTAGCACTTGAAAGAGCTTCCTTGCTTCTATAGCCTTAAATCATATACTGTCACATTTCCAGAATTTGCAATTACTCATCATTTTAAACTGTGAGAAACAGGTGAACCCAAACTTTTAATTACAATTTTTATATACAAGTTAGGTAACACAGCTCAATAAGACTTAGCTATCCATCCTAAGCCCAACACACACATTCTCCACTAAGTTAGACAAGTCTTAGGGTTTTCCTTCTTTCCCTTACAAATAATGTACAAATTTAGAAGTAGCTGGTAAAACTGATATATATATATAAGATGGCAAATAAAAGGTGACATTTTCTGTTGGTTCCAAACTGTTCCTGCAAATTTTGTTCTTTGCTGTGTTCTTTAACCGTATGTGTTACATGCAGAAAGCTCTTTTCATAAGAATTGACATCAAACTTGATGTAAGTTAAATTTACAGTACTGTATAAAGTTATTCAGATTCAAGGACAAATGTGGAAAAATATTAACAGGTGAAAAACTTGGCCTTTGACACTACCAATTAAGATCATGTCAAGTTCATAAGCAGATTTCTGTACAGTTGAAAAATGGCATTGTTGTGGATTTGTGGTTTGGAACTGAAATCTAGAAATATATTTCTACTCTGCAGTAACCCTCTCCCTCAATTCTGAAGTACCACTCAACTTTCTCTGCATTTTTACAGAATTATAGAAAAAAAAGAGAAAAAAAAAAAAAAGCCGCTGGCATTTTAACAATTCCTTTCCTCACTGGCAGTCTTAACATTTTCAGATGAGGTCTCCTAAAGAATCTCTAATAATCACTTGCTCCCAGTCGGCCTTTCATGATGACTTGGACACTTTTCCAATTAAAACTCAGATGTTGCCTAATCTTTCCTACTCTCATCTCTGTCATTGTTGGTAAAATTTGGGCGACTGCATTTTTCCCTTATGGAGAAATTATTTGGCTAAACACACACTTAACTTGTGGCAGTGCTCTGAGAAAACCCCACTCGGGCTAAAGCACTTGCAGGGACTGAAGTCAACAGTCCACTGAATGGGGCAGAGACCAAACACTTAAGATGACTGACTTGGGACCCTCACTGGGAACACACTGACCTTGTGTCCCATGGTCTGCGGAACAGCAGGTCTGCAGGACAGCAGGACAGCAGGACAGCCCAGGAAGGTAGACCGTGCTCATATGGCTGAGTTACCACTTTTAATCTTGGTCTGCCATCTAAGCCCCAGAGACAAAAATTCAGATGTGGTGACTGCTGGTTAATTAAACTTTTTGAACTGGTAAAAAAGGCTCTTTAAAAAATATATATATTTATTTAAAATACATCAAAATGACAAACAGCCATATCCCACAAGGCCTAATTTCACAGCAACATATGCTACAGACATCTTCCCAAAATGCACTATGGTGGATAGTGGGTTTGTTATCCTGCCATTTAAAGGAATGTTCTACATTTGAGCATTAGCGACTGGAAATGTGTTACAAAGAGCTTATCTTTGGAACTAATTTGCGTGCAAGACCAGCCAATTAAATCGCTTTGCCTATTCAGATACACGAGAATACTGAAAATGGCAGAATTCAAAGAGGAACACAGGAAGCACCATTCAGATGACACTCTAGACCCATCCCACCACAGTGCCAGGACGAGCTTGCCAGAAGCCCTTTCTTCAGTCCTTGGGAAGAGTTTTGCTTTAAAACAAGTGCCCACGCTCAGCAGGGTTCCTGCATGTGTACGTTAAAAGTCTGCAGTATCAAGAGGACCCAGATGGTGACACTGTTCAACATGAGGTCTGAGGTAACTGGTTCTTAAAATATCTGGATCACAAAAGTGCATCCAGAAATTAGAGCTGGGAAAAAGGAAAAAGGTAGAGGTGGGGGACTAGAAAAGACAAGTAGAAAAAAGCTTACAGCAGTTGCTTTTGGGGGGAAGAGAGTGACAAAAACAAAGGCACAACAGAATTACATTCCAAGACACGTGGCTGCAGAGCAGAGAAATGTTCTTTTTATGGGGAACAGATGGGGTTGGTTTCTGGAGTGCTACTAGATCTGCTGGAACTAAATTTATTCCAAGTATAAAAAGGGTAAAGTGTAAACCTATACGCTTAACCAGAATGAATAATAAGCACAGCTGGTTTAAAATGACACATTAGGGATTCTCTTGATAAAACTCTCCAGTCCAGTGCTCCTGTCTGGAAGCAGCAGCTTGAAGCCAGCAGGCAGGGTCTGGGGGACAGGTCTTTAGCTGGGCCTCAGGACTGGCCATTATGCATACCAGAAATTCATTATTCATTATAGATCGCCATCAAAAGTCCCACACAAATAACCATCCACTCTCTGCCTAAAAATAAACAGGCTAAAATGAAGACCACTTTCCATATTGTGGCAGTGATGCTAAGCTTCCTAAGAAAAGCAGGAAAACTCTGGAGCTATGTGAAAGATGCTCTGCTGTTACTGGGGTTCCGAGCTTCCTCACTGGGCTCCTGGCTGACTCCACAGATTGAAGCAGTGAGCCAACCCAACCCAACCATTCTCACGTCCAAAAGAGCCCTGACCAGAGAGGACAAAATGTGCCTGGCAGCTCTCCATTTAATTGGATCACTGCATCCACATGCCACGCTCCCCACTTTTCTGAACAATTACTTAACTGGGTAATTCTGTCCCCCAACCTGGATAATGTGATCTTAGATAATTCAGTTTGGTGGATTACTCAAACCACCAGATTCTCATTTCAAAGTTTTTGTACCTGAATCTTATTCGAGTCCCATCCCACCCCAATCTGCACCCCTATACAATTTCTGTTGCCCCAAACACTCTCACATGACTATGTCCTATAGCAAAAGCTTACAAACCAATTTTTGACCTCAGAACCCTTTGTTCAACAGAAATCTCAGGAGGAAGCACCAATGTCAAACACACTGCAGGCCCTCTCTCCTCCCGGTCTATAAGAAGCTGAGCTGAAGTATCACTGTCCTACACAAATACAAGTGGAGTTTTGGCCAAAAAAGACCCGCAAATTGACTCCAGTCTGCCAGTGTATCACAAGAATCCATATAAGCGCTAAGTAAAAGTTCCACACCACTCATGCTCCAGTGTACGTTTCTCTTGAAAGGTAAAGCTCATTAGCTCTGATTACAAAATCATTCAAATTCACTAACTTTATAAAAATAATCTGTGGTATAAAACAATCTCCACACTGTGTAGAAGAAATCTGTCAAGTGATATAACTAAATATATATGTAGAACTATCGATTTTTTTAAAGTAAAGTTTCAAGTGTGTATCTATTATACAACCTATTCTTTTATTTACAATGCTAACATTCTGACGCAAACGTGATTAGGAGAGTCAGGGAATGAGCCCACACCCAACCAACAGAGAAGTTCCCAGGACTCAAGACAGAACTCATGCATTTGCAAGAAGACCCATCCTCACCTACCTGAAAAACTCGCGGGTCATATTTTTCGTAACTGTGAGCTCAAAAATGTAAACTTTGCAAGTGAATGTAATACTCTTCTGTAGATGTCCAGCATAGCCCAGGTTTATATAACCCATTACATACACACACAGAGTGGTGTGTACATTGCTTTAGTGTCCTGTGGTTGGTTTACAGTAGTTCCCAGAATTACCTAGGCCCTAGACAATCCAAACACTGCCCTAGAGAAATAAAGGCAATGCAGGGCCCATCACCACACATTGGCATTTAGAGAATATGTGTTTCAATTACTGAGGAAAAATCACTTCAGTTATCTCTATGAGCTGCCATAGGAGCAAATAAAGTATCACTGGTTTTGGCACTACAGGGGATACGGGAAGTACCACAATAAAAAAAGTCTTGTTTCATTCATACCTGGAAGATACTGTCATGAAAATGTAAAAACTTGGTAATAATTTAAATAATGATAAATTCTTTAAATTCAAATTCTTGTTCGAACCAGTTTACAGTGGACCCAAAATAAACATAAAACATTCAAAGTGTCCCACTAGATAATTTGGACTTTTGTTTGTTGGCAGGCCTTTTGGAGCCACCAATTGTTTTAAAAAATGTTATTGGGTCAACTGAATTAATTTCCAAAGGGGTGTTTTTTCTGCAAAACTAAATCATTATTTCAAAAATCTTTTCCAACCTTCTAAAGGTTTGGGATACATTCATAGGTAGACTGCTGGTTACAAATCAACTACCTGGAATCTTACTTAAAGAACTACGCGTATAACCCTGAATTCATTAAACATTTACAAAACTAAACTGAGAAGATGTATATACAGTTCATCAACTGAATTACTGGGCCTGTTTATCTAAAACATTATCTAAAACATTACTGTCAATTGAGATTTAAACTAATCATTACTAGATTGAACATGTTAGCTGCTATTTCATTAGTTTAGAATTTGCAAACAGCCATTAACTAAAAGAATTCATGTCACCCCAGTGAAAAGGAGAAAAAGACACCTTGTCCCCTTCTCATTCTGGCTGTTTGCCCAGGATGCAGGGTAGATAACTAGATTCACGGAGCTTCCTAAAAAAGTATGGTCTGATGCCCCTGAAATGGGAATCAGGCCTGGCCATCTCTCCAGAGGTGTGCCATCAAAAACTCAACAGGCTAAAATAACTGAGACTGAAAAACTGAGTTAACTCCTGGAAACTGCTTTCCAATTAGTTTATTTTTCTAGTGAAATCAAGTTATCGAGAATAATAACTAGCTGTCCAACTCCTAGTACCAATTCTAAAAACTTACATACTTATGCTTATTAGATTATTTTAAAAACCAGCAAGTCTTTGTGTTACCAATAGGTGCTGGAAACTTTATACTACATACTAAAAAAGGCAAAATTCTAGTTTCAAGAGGGCCATCCAATACTCCCACTTTAATGGAACAGCCACCTCCCCACCCTCATGGCTCAGAGCACAGGGGCCAAGTGACAGGCTTTCTGAGTCACACACAACACACGAAGGACATTCAATACATAGCTGGGCCTCCTTCCACCAGGGAAAAACCCCACACACAGCCAGAGCTCACAGGGCATAGTAGCAGGATGGAGGAAATGAGAATATGGCCAACTAAAGAGAAAGGTGACAGAGCACAACTACAAGTGCTTTGCTGTCTAAGTCATGTCAAGAGGGTTAGCCTAGCCTCTTAGGGCAATCGAAGAACTATCTCTGTGGCCTGGAGGAGAGAGACCCTTCCCTTTGCTAAGAATATGTGAGCAAGAGTCTCTATCCTCCTGAAGATGTTCAAGGCTGGAAAACAACCTCTTTGTTCTGCAGAAACACCCCCAAGTCCAGACAGGATGTATTCAGAGTCAGAATCAGCCAGCATGTGTGGATATGCCCTCCCCCCTCCCCAGGCAGGACTGGTCCCACAGGCTTCTCTCCAGAGCAGACAGGACAAGAAGGCCATGCTGGACACAAAGGCTAATAATGCCCACCATCTTCCCTCACAGACCGGTGTCACTTTCTCCTAAGAATAGCCCATTTGCAGCCCTTGCCCACAAGCAACTCATGCAGGGAACTCCTGTTGAGGACCAATGGTCCCAGGAGAAAATCCAGCTTATGCCAGGCCAGGATGTTCTGATGACTATGTCTACGGCCTTCCCCAGTGCCCCATCATTGAGGGTCCTCTGCATGACACTGTAACACAATGGCCTCTGTCCTCACTTGCTTCCTCCTTCTGCTCATTACTGGATTTCTCCAGCTAGGGATGACTTCTCAGTTATCACAGATGCTTTCAAAGAAGATTGTTCCCCAAGGCCCATCCCTACAGCCAGGAGCCTGCTTGGATGACAGCACACTAGAAACGAAGAAGCAAGGATCCTTGGCTACTCTCTGCTAACTTGGTCCCCTCCCACCCTGCATGGAACAGCCCCTTCCATTGACAGGGAAAACGATGCCAGGCCCCATTTTCCCCAGTCTGTCAAAGAGCCTGAGGTCAAAAACAAAAAGAAAGCAATTATCTGAGCCCCCGAAAAGTGCATGTTGCATGAAGTTATTATGGAAAACAGCACAGGCAGAGGCTGTAAGACCCAGTAAATTCAAAGTAGGGCTCTAGATGGCTCACTCCTCAAAGAACACATGACAGCAAACAGACAAACATTTTACCTGGGGCAAAAGGCCCACCTGTGCTCCTAGACCCATGCCCTATAAGGAGATCCCCCACTTTTTTCTTGCCATCAGAACCAGATATACCACCTGATGGGTGAGCTTTACACCACAATATGAGGGGAAGAGCGGCCTGAAGCCCAAAGAACTGGCATGGACCACCCTCCTCCCCAGCCCCACCAAAAAGGTACCATCTCCTGACACACCATCTGATGGCGAGGCCCCACAGAGACACTACAGTGGCTGAGCACACGGTGGGTCGAAGGGGGAGGCCACCCAGAGAAAAGGCAGGCAGGCCTGACCTGTCTGTACTGTGTCCTGACTGCAAAGTCCCACACCAGAACCATGGCTCAACCCTCCCTTGGCCAGGTCAAAACTTCTCACAAGAATCAAGCCAGCACACAAAAGAAAAACCACCCAGAGGAACTAAAACGAAACAAAGAGGCTGGGGTTTAGTGTTCAGGTAGTATCATGATCTAACTATTCCTGCAGTAAATTTGCTACATTTGTTAGTGGTTTGTTTCTTCTGAGGATGAAAAGTAAAGATGCCTGCCCTGCCTGAGGAGAAAGCTAAAAAAATTAGATATGGCACTTTTCAATAAATATTTTAAAGCTTCTTAAAGAAATAAATGGTAAAGAAAAGCAACTGCTGTAAGGCCTATTTTGCCATTAAAAATTATTCCAAGGGAAGAAAAATACCACAGCACAAAATCAAACCATTTAAAAATAAAAATTAAAAAAAAGACAACATAGCTTACCAAAACCCTGTTCCTGTAACCACTTGGCCAGCCCACATTTTGACCCAGGAAGCAAAAACTGAGCTCTGAGAGGGAAGCAAACGGGCCTCCCCATAGCACCCTGTGCCTCAACACCCAGAGGAAAAGACCCCCGGGCGGCAAGCCCCAGACACTGAACATAGCACGCCAGGTAGATGGCCAGGCGTGTGCAGTGCCCCCCCACACTGTGGACTCCAAGACCAGCAAGAGCGAAACCCTTCCCTCCCAGACACGCTACACTAGAAGACTGGCCTGAGTCATGGTGTGCTTCACAGAGGTGCCACAGATCTCTTCCAACGTTGCTGCCAATTTGCTGAAGAAGTTAAATCTCAAGTAAAATCACCCCATTCAGGTCTAAGGGCCATCCTTCTACCAAGTTTAAGTGGGGTTGTCATTCTGAACATCGACGCATCAAGTTACATGTTACATGTGAATTCCATGTGGAGCTCCAAACAACCCAAGAGGAGGCAGACTCTTCAGTTCTCACCCAGGTCAACCTCTCCCCACAGCCCCCGCCTTGCCTACCCTCATGATGAAGAGATGCACTGCTTTTAAATAAAATGATCTAAAGAAACCAGAAGGAAAAGCCTTCACAAACAAGACTGATGAATGCCCAGACTTGGCCCAGACAGCCAACCTACAGCTGATGACAATTATTTACAAGGGGGCGTTATCAAACAAAAATGGTAGCACTCCCTAGAAGATGCAAACTTTTTTCTTTTTCTCTATTTCTTTTAAACTTTCTTGTCATAAAAGCCAACTTACATTAAAATATACTTACTACAAGACAACACAACTAACAAAATATATAATAAACCTTACACAAGTAGAAAATTCTGAGGTATTTCTGGTTTGAGGTGATCTGTGGTCGTGAAGTTTTAATTCTTTTACTTTTCAAAATTTAAACCTTGGAAGCCACATAGCAAAGCATGTGTATATGTGGATGTGTGTGTTTTGTTTGAAAAAAAAATTTAGCATGTTTCATAAATTAAAAAGAATTCAAATGTTGAAACAGCAGCATTAGGAACATTCACTGACTAGAGCAAGTTTATGGCATAATAGAAAAACAGTTTTTTTAGAATGTGTACCACTTTAAGGGGTCTGGAGAAAGTCTTGTCCACGAGCCACAGAAAGGGGACAGTATTGTTACCACCTGGGGCAGAACCAGAGCTGTAGGACTCTGGGTCCCCAGCGAGGCAGGCCTTGGCAGACTCCACCCAGGAAATCCTCTTGCCCTATCTGTGCAAGACAACCCCCTGTGGGCATTTCCCTGAACTGCTCCAAGAGGAAACAAAAGTATTTCAACTTTTCGTCCATTAAGGGTATTTACAGCATCGTGTCTTATGAAGAATGTATTCACTAACCTGTGATTCTACCCTCACCTAATTTTAAAATTAGGGAAGAAAAAATGTTTCACCCTATGCCCAAGGCCAAGTTAGTGAAAAGAAACTGGTCAGGGCCAGCAGGTAAGTCAGGGCTGTACCCAATCTCAGACTTTCTCCAAACCCCACTCTTGCTATTAATGCTCGGCCTCCACAAGGTCCTTCCCCTCGATTCCTGGTTACCTGAGAAGTAGCCTCCATAGGAAAGGATGCTGCTCCGAATGTGCCCGAGTCCAGTGTAGCTCTGTTCCAAATCCTACCCCCAGTACTGTCCTCCCCTTCCAACTCCAGTCCAAACCATTCTCATCCCAGTTTTTTTCTCGGTCAGGACAACACCCGTTAGATCCGTGAAAGATGTATCTGCTGTTTCTTAAGCTCACTAAAACAAAATAAAAGGAAGGGAGGGAGGGAGGGAGGGAGGCAGGGAGGGAGGGAGGGAGGGAAGGAGGGGAGAAGGGCAGAGGGCAGAGGAAACTCCTCTTCTGAGGAAGGTATGTTCTTATGTAACAGTCTTCAAAGGTTCCTCTAGGTAGAGTTTGCAGCATTAGGTTTCCTAAGACAGGAGATGGGTTTCTTTGTGTCACAGATTCTGAGACGACGAACAAAGAGAAAGCGGGAAAAATGAATCCCAAAGGACAGGAGGTGGCTGAGGCTCTTCAGCATGGCGCTGGTTCTGCATTCACAGCTCAGCACCTCAACGCCTGCTGACGTGTCCGCTGTTTGTGATACAGTAGAGCAATATGCTGGTAAAAACTGATCCAATCCAAAAAATAATATTAATAATAATAATTATAATAATTATAATAATAATAATAAGTCAAGGTAAAATAGCAGCTGCATTTTATGTGTTTGTTGGTTTTATGGGATTTCCAAAACAAAACACAACTTTTTTTCCTTTTTTCTTCAGATCCACTGAGTCTGGACAGACACTCATGTCCTGGGCTTAGATGCTTGACTCTTTAGGGGGCAGGTCCACATTGGTGACAGAAGTCACCAGGGAAACGAGACAGTCCGAGGTAGTGCCGTTGACCGACCTCCGAATCAGGGACACCCGCTCCTCCACACAGCCCGCAGACAAGCGAGCCTCTGCATCATGGTCCCAGCACTCCTCGATGGTCACACAAAGCTGGGCCAGGCCCTGAGCAGCACAGGGGAGATGGGAAAGACACCTTTGTTAGGGCCCTTCAATGAGGAAAAGCTTTGGGGGACAGTAAACTTGATGTTCCCAAGGATCAGGCAGAGCCCACTAGCCCCAACCACAGCAGCAGGTCCACCAGCAGAGACCTGGGGCAAACTTCAGGAATCAGCATGCCTGCCTTCATGGCAGTCATCTTTCTGAGCTTACTGGCCTCACTCCACAGTCCTAGGAAAGGTTCACTGAACCTCAATATACATAGGAGGGAGAAGGAGACACCCAGGCCCCTACTAGGGCAGACATGACTACTTGCCTTGAAGAACTGATATTCAAAAAAATCGTATTCAAAGCCCAAACCATACAAGGGCCCAAAATGTAGCAGTTCAGTCAAAGTGGGGATCAGAAGGACATCATCCTACCTTACTCCCCATAACCCCTGGAACACATTCCTGGAGTCCAGGGAACGTAGTAGACTTTCTCTTTGCTCATTCCCCCTTGATTTCAGCTTACCTGCTACACATGAAGGGTTTCCCTTCTCCACCCCCTTGCAAAGTCGCCTGCACCAGGCCCCTTACCGGGTGTTTCAACCAGTGATCCTTAATGGTGGGCCTCATCTTCTTGTGCACCACCACCTCCTGCAGCTCCTCCAACGAAGGGTGCTGGCCAATCTCTTCCTCAAAGGGCAGCATGTACTCATCCACGGGTCCTAGGAGTAAGAGAGAACCTGGCAGGATCACTCCAAGGTCCCACTGCTCCCTATCCCTCAACCTAGGATGCCCAGGGCTGCCATCCTACTTACCGTCTGCAGCCTTGCAGCGAGACACAAGCTCCCACAGCACCAGCCCCATGGCATACATGTCAATGCGCAGGAAGGCATCTCTCTGGAAGTTGATGGCTCCCTCGAGCACCTCAGGAGCCATGTACCGTCTCGTGCCTACCTATGTGAGGACAGAGGAGGACAGGGTTTACAGTGACTGGCCATACACACACAGCTGGGACATGGGAGTCACAGCCTCTGTGTACCAGATGGGGGCAAGACAGAGCAATTCAGACAGGTTACCAATGATGGCAAACCTCGATTCACCATATTCACAGCAGTTACGAGAGGTCACAGCATCAATTATACTTGGATAATACACTTTTTAAATACTATATCCTGGAGATAATAGTAATCTAAAATGGAATTGTTACCAAATTAATACAAGGAACTACAGATGATGTGTATTTTACTGAGATTAAGACCAAAAACAAAGGGAGAGGGAGAACACTTAAAAATAATAACAGTGATTGTTTTAGGAATTATTTCCTAAGTTTAATTTTTAGTTAATTTTTCCAGGTTCTTTGTTTGGATCCTTAGTACATTTCTTTCTGTTTTATCTTAGGAATTAAAACTAAAAAAGTGAGAGCCAGACTACGAGGACTAGTGGTCAAAACCCCAATGGGGAATCTCTACATTTCCCAGCTGACTGTCAGCTACACTGCCTTCCTGGCCTTGGTTTCTCCACTGGTCAAATAAGAGCATTGTTCTGAGTTCTCAGACAGCTCTGAACACATGCAGTCATCCTCATCTGTGCACCTCGCCAGCTGAGCACGAAAAGGGCAAAGTATCTACCCTGGGCGTACCCCTGTCTTCCTGCCCTGTGAGGTTTGTTACCTGTCCGTGGGTGTCCCCTGGAGGTTTCCCTGGCTCAAATCGAACAGCCAAGCCAAAGTCAGCCAGCACGGCTGTGAGGTCGCTCTTCAGCAATACATTCTTACTTTTAAAGTCCCTGTGGAAACAAGTGGGCAGAGATAAAGCTTAACATCATGATCCAACTCCCACTTTGGTTCCCAAGATACTAGAGTCTATGCCCTAGTCAGTCCCCAGACCAGGTCATCCCCCGCTACCTGGGGTGCAGAGGTGAAGCAGCACAGGCAGGCAGCTGCAGGAGCCCACACAGGTGTGAGAATCCCTCAGTGCACTTCAGATGGAAGGATTCACCCCCCCAGGATTGGCAAAGCAACACCTACCCTAACGGCTGGGCAGACCCTGTCCCAGTCCCCACACTATCACAAAGGCCAGCCCATATATTCTCAGAGGGGTTGTGGACAGGCACACTGGCCTGGGATGCAAGTTTTCTGAGAAGAATTTACAGCATTTGGAATGTGAATGAGAATAGGAATTTAATATTAGCTTTCCTAGGATCCTGCAGATATCCCTTAGGGCCTCGAGCTCACCATGAAGGCCGGGTGGAGCAAGGGTGCTATTGCATACGCCCAGCTCCACCTCTAACTAAGCAAAGCTATTTGTGGTACTCAATTTCCCCAGTGCCTGTCTCAGCCCTGTGAGGATTCGACTGAGTGGTAAGTACAAATGCTTAGGGCCACACCGGGAATACTTACTAGGTGTTCCTATTAAGTTGAGCCATATAGCGGAGACAACATTCAACCTTTTGACCTATAAGAATAGCACTTTCATACAGTCAACCTTCTATGTCATTACTGTTATTACCATCAGGGACCCTTCAGCTGTGAACGCTGGAATTTGAGTATCATTCCCCTCCCTCACGGTCACAGAACCAGACTCAACTAGCCACAGGACCTTGGCTAAGTCATTCAACTTCTCTGTACTACTGTTCCTCATCTGCAAGACAGAGCTGAGAAATACAGTGCTTGTCTCAATGGGCGGTAATGAAGGTTAAATGAATTGACACTTCTCAAGGGTTTAGAGCATTGCCTGCCATTTAGTAAGCAGGACAGTGATGAGCTCATTCAGAGTTTCTTAAAGTGTGGTTTGAGGACCCCAGAAAATCTCTAAGACTGTTCCAAGGGAATCTATAAAGTCAAAATTATTTTCATTTATTTGCTTTTTGAAGGCTCATTCTCTTAGGAGCATAACTCTATGCTCCTAAGAGCTACATGAGATGTGATGTCATCACTCCGACAGCGAATGGGATGTGTGGGTGTGCTCGAATACAGCAAATATCAATAGTCATAATCCATTTACACAAAAGTCCTTTTAAGAGTATAAAGGGGTCCTAAACTAGACAATTTGAGAACTACTGAGCCAACTCTCCAACCAAAGTAATGGAGTCAGCACTTCATGTGGCCATTAGAGGGCACCACAAACCAGTTTCGGAGGCCATGCCATCCCCAGGACACAGTGGGAAGGCCAGGTTTTGTGCCCAGCTGCCTCAGACACACAGCAAGCAGAATAAGTATGTTTAGGAAGTTGAGACATCTCCAGACACTGCTCTCACCCACCAACCCTTCCTACAGCTCCAAGTCAAGTGCAGGAAAGGCATGTGCTGACCCTAGTACCTGTGGGCAATAGACGGCTTGTGGCCCTCGCCACGGCACCAGGGCACGTCCTCATGCAGGTATGAGAGGCCTCGCGACATCGTCTCTGCTACATGACACAGTTCGTTCCATGTGATGATGTTCCCCTTGAGGTAATCCGTGAGGGAGCCCTGAGAGAAGACAGCACAGAACTTGAGCACAGATTCTGGGTACAGGACAGGACCCAGCCCAGCCCTGGCAGAGAAGTCTCAGTGGGCCGATGACTAGGCTGCCCTCCTGGGAGGCTACTACAATTGATATGGAAGATAGATGAGGCCAGGAGGCAGGGAGGGCTAGGGGGTGGGAATCATGCAGTCACTACTCTTATCACAAAAACTTATCCCAGGGTGAGAGGTTCCTATCATAGGGGCACCTATGTCCACTCCTATGGCAGGGGTAACCTCATCGTGGATAGTGCTACCGGGGCAGAGTACCTCATGGTGGACACCTCCACAGGGAAGGGGTCATCATATTATGGAGAGCCACCAAGGGGGCATTCTATCTCCTCTCAGAGTCCATTCTGATAGGTGTGGCTCACCTTGTCGTGGAAGGCCGTGATGAGCCACAGCTCTACTTCGAGGTTGGAGCCTCGCTTCTCGGCAGCAATGAACTGTAGCAGGTTCTCGTGCTTCATGCCAGGTGTGCTGAAGATCTCCCGTTCACTCTGCCACGACTGCTTGTCCTGAGGCCGGGGGTGAGGGGTTGGGGGGACAACTGGCTGGTTTAGCCCTGCTACAGTCACATTGCCCTACAGCAGAACAACCAATCCCCATTCCCCACTCCCGAGCCTCCCAGCTGATTCCCCACCCCGCAGCCTCGCAGCTTCAGCATTTGTAACAGGACCAGGAGAAGATCTGTATTAAGCTAGGTCGTGGAGCATGAGGCCAACAGTGATCCCTGAGATCACTTAAGGCTAGCACTTTGATTTACAAACGGGGCCACTAAGGTCCACGGACGGGAAGTGAGTGACCCCGTATCACCCAACAAATGAGGCAGAGCCAGACCTGGTGTCCAGGGCCGCTGGAAAGAACTCAATGTCAAAAACAAAACCTTGGAAACCTGGGCAAATCAAGGTTTGGCAAAGCCCTACCCTAGTCCTATGATAAAATTCCACAGTTGCATGAAATCTACAGACCAGCCAAGTGTAACGTGAGTAACTAGGCCCAATAAGGCTCACTTTTCTCTAATACCACAATGTATTTGGGGTTTGGATTGCCTCAGGGCAGGAGAGCCTCCAGTTCAAGCTACAGCAGAGGCAGAGGACCTGGATGGAGCCCCTCAAATACTCACCTGGAGTGGGAAGATCTTGACAGCTACAAAGTCATTCATGAGCTGGGCCTTCCAGACACAGCCAAAGCGCCCCCGAGCCTTGATCTCCAGCAGCTGCAGTGGCTTCAGGCCCACCAGAGGGGATGGGGGTGGAGGCCCAGGGTCCTGGGGGAGAGCAAGGCTTAATAAGGTCTGGCCTGTCCTCCCGACCTCTCCCCTGCCCTGCCCCAAGCCAGCACTGTCTCACCTCATGGATGTCCACATGACCGTACGGGGGCTTGCGATGCCGGTACATCCAAAAGGCCAGTAGGACGATGAGGGAAAGGCCCCCGATGGGCAGCAGTGAGTAGGCCAGCACCGTGAGCAGGGTGGGGGCTGTCGGAGGTGGCTCATACGTGACTGGGGGACACACAGAGCCCTGTGTCAAACAGTCTGCACACCCTCACACCTCCAGAGCCAGACTACAGGGCCCTGTAGCCACACCCCACCCAACTGAGGAGCCAGGAGCTCCAAGCCAAAGAGGCCCAGGTCGGCTGACTCAAGGTCCCACTTCCACACTGCCCCCTCACCTTCTGGGCCCCCAGCCTCTGGCAAATGAGTGAAGCGCTCGTTGCAGAAGTTGCCTTCACAGCAGCAGAAGTACACCTGGGGGTTCTCCTCAGTGGCCACACACTCCTGCCTGGAGGCACAGAATTTTCCATACACCCCTCACCTGGGGGATGCAAGACTGCCCCAGGCCTGCCCCACCAACCCCTCCTCACAGTCAGAGCACCTCATGGGCAACATCAGGGGGATGGTGTGAACTCACCTCCCCTACAGGAGACCCAAAGCCAAGGAGGAACAGCCAGGGGTTGACACTCACTGAGACCCCTCCTCAGGGTTGAGGTAGGACAAATAGGGTGTGGAAGGGCGTGGGGCCCTGGCTACCATCTCAAGAGCCCATTCTCGGTCCTTTATCTCCCGCTCAGACATCCTGAGACCCAAATGGTCCAGTGGGCAGTATAAGTGCAGGTGGGTCCAAGAGGAAAGGAGGGCGAGTCGTGGAGTACCTATCATAGCAGTTGAAGTCATCTAGCCAGCAGCCCTTCTTCACGAGCTCGATGGTGCCAGAGCTGTTGCGCCAGGAGGCGTAGCAGTGCAGCCGCTTGTCCTGCTCGCCCTCGCAGCGCTCCAGGCCGCTCTGGTTGGTGCGCTCCAGCTCCCAGTTGGCGTTGTAGTAGATGCACTCCCGTGTCTCAGCCTCCCCACGCCCAGAGCCTGTGCCCCAGAGAAAAGAGAACCACTGAGCATGCCCCTGGGACCACCACCCAAACTCCTACTCCCAGTCCTGGGTGCCAGGCCACCCTGAGGGAGAGAGGCCGGGTGGTGGGTTGGGGTCACCAACCCCCTGCACTCACCCCTGGATGCAGGCCACCCATCCATCCACCACCTCTTAATTTACATGTACCAGTTGGCACCAGCCCCCACCTTATTCTGCAGCCCATCACAGCTGCCCCTAGGCCTAAGCAAGAGAGGAGGCAGGAAACCTAATGCCCCAGAAGGATGGATACACAGCCAGCCCGACAGAGGCCAGATGCACAAAAAGGGCACCAACACCTGAGGCTCCTGGGTGGGGGTGGGGCTACTTCCCTGCTGCAGCAGAAACTGACGAAGGGGCACCCTTCAAACCCCAGGGCACATCAGAATCACCGTATGTTGGAGGTGTGGGAAAGAGGACCAGTGTTCACTCAAATATATATTTCCAGGCCCAATCCAGACCCATCCCAATGGGAATGGGTGCAGAATATGTGCTTTTAACCGCCCCATCTGTCTCAGGTGATTGCGACAAAGATCTCAAGGACCACCTGGCAAAACTGCAAGGGGAGTGGCTTCCTGCTGCTCCTGTCTCTGCCCCCAAACCCCCTTCTCACGACAGTTTCCCAGGGAGACCATGCCAGCGGGTCCTCCACAACTCCCTGCCCATACGTAAAGGGAAGCAAGGACCCTGTAGGCGTCCTTTCTACACCCAGCAACCACACCTGGTACTGAAGATCCTAAGGAATGTTCTCCATGCAGGGCTGGAGAACATAAGGAATGAGGCCTGCGTGTACAGGGTTAGCCTCTCAAAGTCACCAAGGGGAATACGTGCCTCAGGCAGAGGAGGGCTAGATGGTGGCTTAACCTGCGATCACAGATCATTCTCCTGGCTAGGCTTCTGATGTCCCCGGGGCACTCCCCATCACTTCTGAACCCCTTTCCACCTGCTGCAGGAAGTGCCATCCAGGTGGACAACCACTTCAACCCCCACCATTCAAACACTTTCCTTCAAACTTGATTTCAAACATTCCCCAAATCCATCTTCCTCACCATCCCCTACAAAACAACCTCCAGTCCCAGCCCCAGTCTACTCCCACTACCCCCAGGAACCACATAGCCCTGAGATGGGAAAGAATATGGAGATGCCAAAGGAGGCTCGGTTCTGTCTGAAAGCTCTGCCAGCGCCCCATTATAGGCCACCCACAATGGAGGGAGGTGGTGGCATTTACAACCTCATTGCTAGAACCCCACGCAGACACCTGAGAGGATAGTTGCACCAAGCATCCAGCCATCCTGTCCACACTTCTTGGGCCCAAGTAGGCCAGTGACCTGGCACCACTCCTGGCTGGTCTTCTCCTACCACTATTCCCATCCCAGAAAGGAGGGAGGGGTCAGAGTCAATCCCACCAGACAGCCAGCCCATCAGCAGCCAAGAGCCCTACTTCGCCATCAGCCTCAATGGCTGACTGGAGTAGCAAGGAACACAAACCCTGCCCTGACCTTCGGGGAGGGCAAAGAACCCTGAACGCTAGTGTAGCCTAAGGACATCCTCACTCTCCTCTCCACCCCCATTGGTGGCCTTCATGAGGAAAGAGCTTGATTTCCCAGGGTATACCCCAGAGAGAAGGATACTGACTGGCTGTCAGGTGAAAGAAGCCCCCCACCACTGGAGCAGCCATTCCCCTGTCAAACCCAACCCCTTTCTGCATCTCCCTGAAGTGATAGGATGCTTCTTCCAGGGGCAGGAGCAAGCAATGAAACTCAAGGATCCAGGTAGCGCCCAAGGGTCCGAAATGTCACCCAATCAGAATGGCAGTGCCCAGCCACAGCTCTGGTCATTCTACACCAGGTAGCCTAGGCTCTGACACTTGGGAAAAGCAAATGCATGGCCTCCTGACCAGCCAGTCAGCTGGGACTCAGCCTCTTCAAAACGAAGGGCCTTAGGGTCCACAGAGAGGCTTACAAGAGTACACACTGGCTTCCCCAGTCAGGCCCTTCATCAAGCATGTGGCTTTAAGGTTTAGAGGGAGAACCTGAGAGGGTGGGGTGGGAGTAGTTGACCAAAGGCTGAGCAAGCACACCAGGGCCAGGACAGAGGCTTGCACCTACGTTGCCCCAGTCTGCCTGTAGCAGCACCCAATGACTGGGTTATTCGAAGCACCCTGCCCAGAGGCCACAGGGCCTCCTCCCGCCAGGCTGGGCCCCACTGCATCCACGGCAGCAGTTCTAGTGGGGGTCCGTGGAGACCTGAGACTTGTGGGGCCAGCCAGGAAGCTGCACTGCAGACAGGGAAGCTGGGCACTCCCCTACCTTCCTTCCCTCACTGCAGCCACACCATAATGTCACACCCTTGAATGTGATCGGCTTCTAGGCTTCGTAAGTTGGAAGTTACCACCTCTGACCGTAGGGTTCCCCACCTTCCTCTGATTTCAGCTCTTCTCTCTCCCTCAGCTGAGACCACGCAAACTTTCTACTTCCACTGGCCCTTGTGCTTCCCCTGCCACTTAACTTAACCACCCTTGACTAATGGCCTGTTGTTGCTTAAAGGAATATCTCAGACATCTTGAAAAGTGTACCAACAACATAACCAAAAATAATCTCCAAGATGAAATAACACAACGAACACTTGTATGAGAAATAAAACATTACACACGTACTCGACAACTATTTCCTAAATGTCAGGCTTTCCCCACAAGACTGGAAAGCCAATGAAGGCAGGGCCCTTGCTGTCCTGAGTGGTAGAATCATTCCAAACACATCATGGATGGATGGGTGGACAGACAGATGGACAGAAGGGTGTAGGTATCATGGCTAGAGCAAGATTTCGAAAGGAGGGAACAACAAGGAAGGATGGCCTCAGACTGCAGCCCAAGCCCTAGGTCCTCAGAGTTTCCATCTCCATTGAGACAAGCAACAAGCCTCTGTGCTGAGGTAGGAGTCCAAACAAGGGAGGCCAACAGAGTAACCTCCTCCCTCCAGGCCACTGATAAGTCAGGAACCACCCTCTAGCCACTACCATGGGCAGGACCCAAGTGAAGAGGCTGGGAGTTCCAAATCTCAGAGGACCCAAGGGTTCAAGATGTCACCTGGGCCAGGCACAATGGCTCACGCCTGTAATCCCAGCACTTTGGGAGGCCAAGACAGGCAGATCACCTGAGGTCAAGAGTTCGAGACCAGCCTGGCCAATGTGGTGAAACCTCATCTCTACTAAAAATACAAAAATGAGCCAAGCGTGGCGGTGGGCATCTGTAATCCCAGCTACTCAGGAGGCTGAGGCAGAAGAATCACTTGAACCCGGGAGGCAGAGGTTGCAGTGAGCTGAGGTCGTGCCATTGCACTCCAGCCTGGGCAACAAGAGCGAGACTCCATTTCAAAAAGATGTCACCTGACCCCCATCTGACCAGATCCTCCTACTGGCAACCCAGCGAAACATGGCAGCCATGAGTGGGCCAGACTTCAAGTCCTACTCCAATACTTCACAGCTAGGGAAGTTGTAGCAACTAATTGAATTAATGCACTTTAAGGGTGGCTAGAACACTGCCTGGCACATAGGCTGTATTAGAGCCACACCTACCCCCTACTGCCTATGACAATCCCTTACAACACAAGTACCCTGTATGACTCCCAGCCCATCAAGTCACACCATGCCTACCAGAGCTTTATGTTCAGAGCCCTATGTAACATTCCATGCCCCTCCCTCACCACAGGGCTCTGCTGCCAGCTGGAGACCCAGGGGCCTCCCCCATTCCTCTCTCTTCCCCAGACTCTCCTTCACACACTCAGCTATTTATAGCCTCTGGCAATACTCCAACCACAGGCCACCTCTGCCTTTTGATAGATAGAGATTCCCACTCACACCCAGGAAGCCAGGGCATCCATGCACAGGTGGCTCCCCTAGACTCCCAGCCCACTCAGCTAACCTGGCAGGAGGAGAAGCCATGCTCCCAAGATGGGGGTGCTTATGGTACCCCCTTAGGCCTGCTGCCTCATAGCCCTGAGGTAAATGAGCATAGCTCCCAGACACCAGGACAAGGGGCTTGCTGCATCCCTGAGTCACAGCCAAACCAACTGCTGGCCTCCAAAGGAAGCTGAAATACAAGTGGCAATGTTCCCAAGGGGCAGTCCCTATGCTCCAAGAGGCCTAATCCCAGTGGAAAGAAAGTACCCAGGGCTCCCCAAACCTTCCCTCCTGGCAGGACACCACTCCCAGATACACCACTCCCGACCCCCACACAAACACGCAGTACGTGCACACACACACACAGCACATGCAGACTGCACTCTGGACCAACATTTCTGGCAGCAGAACCTAAGCCGGCTAGTTTTGATGCTCGAAGACATGCACCGGGAGGCCAAACACTGGGAGGTTCGCTTCTCCCATGAAGCAGCTCAGCCCACTAGACTTTGGACACACCCACTATGCCCTGAGGAGAAAAGGGAGAAATCTCACCAGGGTCCTGTCTGTGAGGGGCTCAAAGTGCCATGGGGAGAGAAAGAGGAGGAGATGGTTCAGAGGTGGAGTGTCCATGCCCACCTCCCCTGGAGTCCCTGAGCTTTGCACTTGGGTGTCCCCAGTCCAGCCAGTGTCTCCTAGAGGAACTGACCCCAGCAGCCAGCAGAACCACTGCTCGGTTGGCTCCTGGAGGCCCCTTGGCAGCCACCTACCCCAGGGAGCAGGTGCCCAGTCCCACCTTTGTGAGGAGTGCCACTCACCACTACATCTACCTAGGTCTGCTTCTGCCAGCACACTGGGGCACACCCTCCCAGAAGCCTCCATGGCCAAGAGGAGGACAAGAAAGAATGTCTCAGGAGGGCCAGTGTTCTCCCTCTGGTGTCCAGCCTTCACATCTGCCCAGAGAGAAGAGGCAGCTCTCCCCACAGACAGCACCCCTCGAAAGGCAGCCCTGAGTCTGCCCAGCTGCCTTTATTGCCCTAGCAGGTCCCTCCATAAGAGCCAAGGA